CTCTCTCTCTCTCTCTCTCTCTCTCTCTCTCTCTCTCTCTCGTGTGCACGCGTGCACACAAAATAAAAATTTGATGTTTGAGCTTTTGGCTCGGTGGTCAGTGTATATGGGACCATAACACCATTATGAGACTTGGATTAGAGCTTTCAAGCACAAGGATTGAGTACCTGCTTGTGGTTTGGCCTCTTCTCCTGGTAAGACACATTACCATGGTGATGGGTAACGTCCCAAGTTAAATAAAAAATAAAAAGAAGAAACTGTAAGATAAAAAAGTGCAATGGAAAATGACATATCATTGCTTCTAACACTGACATTAGATCCACTGCAGCTGGAGTTAACACTAGGTATTTTGAACATTTGTTTCTATACCCATTAACAACCATAAAATTTCTGTTTGTTAGATGTGGCGTTGTTGCATGTTGTGCTATATGAACAGTGGCAGTGTCTAAATATTAGAAGTGTCGAGTACTTTGGCTCAAAAAAGTTTATATATCTAGATATAATTGTATGATTATTATTTGAAAGTAAAATACAATATACTCTAGTATATATATGATATAATCTTGGATTCTATTTGGTGGTGGTAGGGTAGAGGACTCTTAACCCAAAATTCTTGGAATGAAAATCCTGCAATGAGTCAGCTTTATGATATCTTATTATTTATAATAAAACTTAAAGTGTCTTCAAGTGTCAACATGCAACATCGGGCCAAGGCTGAAATGTCTAGTTACCAGTGGTTGTACAACTGGAGGTGGGGAGTTTCTGTACTAATTGTCTGGGCTGCTATGGGACCTGCAGCATCAAAATTTTCAAACTTGTAATCAAAGATTTCTCCTCACATAATTACAAAAGTCCAAAGATTGGACAGAGCCTTCCAGTGAGCTGGAAATATTTCAAACACGAAAAGAAAAAAAAAAAACCATCAAATCCCTCCTATTTATTTTCTCTGCCTCAGCTCTAGCAGTAAGAAACCATCCACAGTAGCCCCCCATTACCATTTTACTGCATGGTTTTGAGGAACAGTTCATCGTTGGTAATAGGGGTGGAACTGTCTTAGAATGTATGTAGTTGAAAACTGTTTAGTTATGGTTAACTAGTCCTTTTGGCTAATGCGACTTTAGTTTTTGGATTTGCGACTTTATTTTTTGGATTTGAGTATCATTGACTTTCTTTTATGGAAGTTAAGTGTAGGGAAATATATACGATAAGATTATTATCTTTATCTTTTGTATAAAGAGATCACAATTATTTCTTGTTTTTGGATGTGAAATCAGAAAGCTAAGAATGTGTCATTGATCAAGCTCAAAGTTCAAATTTTTTTTTTGAACTTTGTAATATACTCTTAGCTATCCGATTTGATATTTGATAGTTAGGGTTAGTTGTGATCTCCTTATTTCAAAGATAAATGATCTTATAATATACAATCTCTATGACCATAGAATTGTAGGAGTCGATCACTTTGCAATGAATAAATCCATGGTGATGTAGTGCTATCACATGATGTAGATCGTGTTGTGGTGGGTCCCACTCTCCATTGCTGTCTATCTGTTTTTCACGAAAGACTAGGTTCGTATGTGTGACTAAGGATATGGGTTTGTGTATGCACCACAATATTTAGTTTGGTACATGTATCATCAGCTGTCTATGGCAATGACACATGTACCAAGCTGAAATCGTGGACTTACTCCAAAATTCGTGTGGAGTATTTATCAAATTCAAAAAAAATATTTGAAACAGTTTTATCACTATTAAAAGAGGACCTATTGAGAGGGATGGAGGTAGAGAGAGACAGGGTTTGGGAATGATTTTAGAAACTATCCAAAAGATGAGAGAGAGAAGGCCCTTTGGAGATATCCAATAAATTGGAATTGTTACAGATAAGATTAGTTTTTATTGATGAGACTTGAAAGGGTGTCAACATAAAGTTAGAACTTTAAAAAGATGCTCTAAAATCTAAATGTTTTAAAATTAACTGCACTAAGATCAAGTATGTGGAATACAAATTTAGTGATAATAAAAATAGAGATGAGGAAGTTGTTAAGATTGACGGTGAGAAAATATAAAAAAGAGTACACTTCCGATATCTTGGGTCGATAATCCATGAAAATAAAGAGATGGAGGAAGATGTCACACATAGAATTAGAATTACCTGGACAAAGTGGAAATGTGCAATTGGAATTTTATGTGCTTGCTACATAACAATGAAATTGAAGGGCAAGTTCTTTGGGGCGAAATGTTGGGCAGTAAAAAAACAATATACCCATAGAATGAGTAGTGGAGATGAGGATGTTGAAATGGATAAGTGGCAAAACAAAAAAGGATGAATTTTAAGATGAATACATTTGAAAAATTTTAGGTGTGATACCAATAAGATGAGAGAGAGTAGATTTAGGTGGGTTGGTTATGTATGGCGCAGATCTAAAACAACACCTGTTAGGAGATACAAGTTAACTCAAGTGGCAGGCTAAACAAGGATAAAAGGTAGGACCAAAATGACATGGTTGGACATATTGAGAAAATATATGGGGACTGAATGACCCTTAATAGAGCAGAATGACATACCAAAATTCGTGTAACTCACCCCCAATGATACAGAGAAGATTAGTATGCGTAAGGATGACAATAAATGATCTAAATATTTTAAATTAAATTATGTAATTTTGTCAGAGAGAGAGAGAGAGAGAGAGAGAGAGAGAGAGAGAGAGAGAGAGACGTAGTAAGTAAGTTTAAACGGTTACCGGTTTAGTGTCGGACGACGTACGTATGTAGTTAGTAGTAAGTAGTAACGTACCTACTTACTTAAACTT